TGTCTCTTTGTTCTTTTTCCTGTGAATTATCATAAATTTGCATTAAATGTTGGTTTCATATAAGGCCCAACAACTAAATGGCAGTCTTCTGGGCTTGGTATTTTGTGGGACAATGTATAATGGCCTGAGTGAATGGTCAGGGTTTTCAAAATAATAATCTTAAAGTTTTTAAATTAAATACTGAAAATTATGAGGCTTATTTATGCAATGGGTGTGAAATGATCTTGGGTGCGTTTTGTTCTTATTGTCAGAAAAAAAAAGTTGATGCAAGAGCAGCAGATTGTTGCTTATGTGTACTGATTTTTAATGAGCTTTATTTCATGGTATGTGCGCCATACTGGTTTCTTAATTGATGTTTAATCAGAATATACATTCAAGTGAGTTCTTAATCATTTGAAAATTTTTAGCATTCAGTGTACTATCGTACACTTTTATAATATATGAATATATAATATGTGACAGGCAAATTATTACGTGCGGGTTCATATTTTTCATTTCCTATTTTATCATGTGTAATATGTATTGATGATGTGGTGATGTGTTTTGATCTGGTTTCATGAAGATCATTACATGTGGATAAGCATGGCATGGGCTGTGATTGCTTGTAAAGAGGTGGTGTGAGGTGGTACCACATGATTCCTATTGTTTTTTCATATAGTGACTTGCAATTACAGCGCTAAATAGGATCTCATACATGGCTTAAGCAACATGCATAAATACATAGATGATGATGGATGTATATTATCATGCTTCCTGCTACATGAATGTTACTGAGTAAATTTGCATTGTTATTATGGGAATAATAATGATGCTATTATAATGAATGGGAGTAATGCATATGTAGGAAGATTGCATAAGCATTGTAGAGAATTTTCATACTAAATGGCATATTACAAGCGGAAGATTCAAATGATGTGCACATAAAGAATGGGAGTCATGCCATGCTATGCCAATTAAATGAATAAGAACATATGATTTGATTGCAGTTGAAAAGATTAGGGGTACAACTAGCACGAAATTTTGAAATTGGTTATGAGATATTTTAAGATAAGTTGTATACTTTTATTTATTTATTATCTTTTTTTTCTAATATGCTTATGAACAATTATCATAACAGGCCTTTTTTTAATAATAAGGTAAGTGAAGAAATTTGAAATTTTGAGAACATTTATTAATAAGAAAGAATTACAGTGGAATTTTAGAATCAGGAAATGTTTATGAAGCAAAGGTTCTTTCTCAAGTTAAAAAATATCCCAAAAAGATCTAAATTTGATCATTACAAATTTGAGTCAGAAAATCCTATCAAAAAATTTTGACATCAATTCTCATTTTTTAGGAAAAAAAGTTTTTGGCTCAAATTGCTTGGAATAATTGGATATTCAATAAATAAAAGGTCAAAACAATACAAGTCTTGAAGAATCATACGATGGTGATAATTTAATACAATATAGAACAAAGTATTTCTGTGCCAAGACTTTCAGTTTCTAATAACTGTTCAGTGCATTGTTGGTGTGTTACTTCCAACTTCATCATGCTTCTTTCTTCAACTCAGGGTCCTTGAATAGTGGAAAAGATAAAAACAAAAAGCCATTTTGAAGTCAAAAATTGGCATTTATCCTTAACTTAGTATGATAATTTCCTACACACGATGGATGTGAAATCAAGAATGAGAAGCCTTGGACCAGGGGAGGAATCTTGACATCTTAAGAGATGGGAGCAGAGATTCAAAAAGTAAAAGCTAATCAATAAAACGTTTTCAGGTAAATTACGGAAGGTAAGAGTAGAGAAAGTAGAATTGCTTGTCTGTGAGAGAGGAAGGAGTGGTATCTGGGTTGAGCAGGCTTTCTTGAAGTTCTTCTCATAGTTTCGTAGGCCAAGACTAGTACAATTTTGGGTTCGTCTGTAGTAATTCAATAGCAGGTGCATGTGAAATTTCTGGCCAACACTGCATAATAATGGACATAAAGCATTTCAGGAATGTTCTTTCTGCATAAAATATCGTTCTGATAATTTACAAGCAAGAAATTTTGAGTATATCCAACAAGGTTTGAAATCTTTTAAACTACACAGTTTGGATAGTCTGTACGACTTTGGATTGGTAATGTCCGGTTTAAAAATGCGGAAGATGGTTATTTCTCAAAAGTTTTCTGGTTGAAGTAATAAGGTCTTGCTTGGAAGTTCATTCCACCATATATTTATCTCACTCTAAAACACAAAATTATGAGGAAGTATAAATTCAATATCTTATAGAAGCATCCCTCAACTTTTTTTAACCAAACATCAGATAATGTGTAACTTTCTTCTTTGATTCGGTTTAAGATGGTTCTCCTTATCTTCTTATTACAATAGCTTTTAGTAATAAAAAATTTTATTTATTGTACTAAAAAGGCTGCTTTAAGAAGCATTTAGACAGCCATCCGTTGACTCGTGTATAATCCCAATGTGAAGTAAAAATGGAATCATACCTCTCTATTAAATCTTCTGCAAATCCCTGATAACCTGCTGGCTGAAACCTACGTGCGAAACATTCAAATCCGCACAATCAGCCAAGTTCCGTCGCTTCTCCGTGTTTCCTGCCCAAATCCGTTCCAGCTGGATGCTCTGCTCGTCTTTAAAAAGCAGATGAAAACGAGGGCTTCAGCCTTATCAATACATGGCTTTCCACGTCGTTCGGCCTTCTCCCTTGTCGCTCTTCTTCTCACAGCGCAAATCCTTGCGCGGGGGGGTAATTAACTATAGGGGCTTGCGCCTATAGGAAACCAGAACTCAGATCATAAAGTCCTCACAAAATGAGGGTGAAATCTCTGGGTAGTGTCTTATCTACAAACCCATCTGCCTTCCAAAATTTACCTCGGAACTTATTCAGTTAAAACTCCCTCGCCGAATAAAAAGAAACGTGCGGCGGGGAGGCCGGGGCCGAATTTTCGGAGCCCACAACTTTTGAGAAAAAATTCATGCTTACATTATTATGAAAATTTTGGGTATTATAGAAACAATTGATGAAAAAGGATTCATGTAGCCGACCACACGTAGTGGGGGATAAAGGCTTTATGTTGTTGTTGTTGTTTTTGTATAGAAACAATTGATGTAAGAATCGAGAATCATTATAAGCCAGAGTGAAGAAATTAGTGTCCGGTCATCAAGGCTAAGAGTGAGATTCGACATCATAATTGTGATGTTGAAAAAAATCATCGACAACATATGCCAATTTGTAGACTCCATTTTTAATAGTGCTTTTTTTTTATAAGGATATCTACTAGTTGTCACTACTGACAAAAGCATTAGGGGAGAAGGACATTGGGAATAAAACAACACAACAAAAAGAAAACAAGAAAAAAAAGAATTTATAGCATCGTGATGCTTTACAAATAAGAAAAAAATTTTATGGGGCTCCGCCCTTAAACCCCTAAGCAGGGGGCACGTTGCCCCCCTGTGACCCTCCAACAAATTCTTTATAGAACTCAATCAACAAAATTGAGAATTTAGTCAACAATACAACACGATTTATCGACACAATCTTATTCCATGCAAAACCAATAATATTCTCCCACTTGAAAACTGATTGCGATCAAACTTTCTCCCGATTTGTAGTATCAATCATAGTAATTGTAGTATGGCTCACCCCTGGCCCTCAGTCTTCATGAAAACCAGCTGAAGTTACACATAACTTCAATTTATAAAATATCATTATCTTCGTCAACATGTATGCAGTATTGTGGGTCGTCTATATATTCTCCAAAGATAACTAAACATCTTCCCAAAAAGAACTAATGAAATGATGTCAAAGCTGAATATGCCTCGTTCTGGCATGGAATGCAACATTCTTAACAAGTTGAATAGCACTCATGTTATCATTATACAACTTCTCATTCATTTGTCCTTTTGCTAAATTATGTAATAAAACATTGGAACCATATCATTTCCTTGCTAGCCTCAATGATAGCAATGTATTCATCTTTTGTAGTTGGGAGAGCAATAATTTTCTATAGCTTTGAAACCCAACTCATTGTTGTGTCTCCTAAAGTGAAAATATAACCTATTGTACTCCTACCATCAATATCTCCAACAAGATCAAAATCTACATATTCCTACAATTCAATCCCTACATATCAAAAGCGAAGAGATTTGTCAACTAATTCTCACAAGTATAAAAGAATCCACTCTTGAACCTTAATTAACCATAGTAAAATCCGCATGAATCATTTGATCCTAACTATATGATCAGCTCTGATACCACTTGCTAGGGAACGAACCAAAGGGAAATCTAAATTAGGCCATATACATGAAAGGTTAAACCCATTTTGAAACAAAAAACTTAAACATATGGGTGAAGGCAAGTCACTTGGTATTTTTACACTAACATATTTATCATTTATCCAATGTGAGACTAGATCATAAACCTCATATGCATTAACATCCATGAGCAGAGAATCAATGAGCCCAAATAAATCTTGGAAATGTAGATTGTTCTGGAGCTTCAAGACCATCTTCACATATGAATGATCATAATTAAGTGTGGACAATGAACAGTTAGAAAATCATTTCTCCCTACAAGCTCTCTACATAGTTTAAAAATTAAACTAAGCATCCACATGAGAAAACAATAAGTCTATGAAGTTATCAAATAACTTCTAAGAAATATCTCTTAATCAGGAATAGAAAAAACGCAACTGATAAAAAGTAAAAACTATAAATTTCTGAAAAGACAAATAACTCGCCAAACAATCTAAAATTAATGTTGCTTACCAAATAAATTCAAGGAGGATAATAATCATAATCAAAACTCCATGGCGTATACTTATTCACTCAAATAAATAAATTATAACACTATAATGTCTCAGTGATGTATGAATCATAGGTGCAGTTAGTTCTAGGTAGATAGTGACAGGAAGAAATGGCAAACAATGTCATCCGAACTTTAATATAAAAGGAACTTTTACATATAATGCCAATTCAATAACTAAAAATCAAATATAACAGTGAAAGAAGTTGAGATTTACACTGAGAAGCTTCACTGTTACTGTTGTTCCAATACGCCCTCGGAGTTTTTGGGCCGCCGCTTCACTATTTATTCCAGCAACACTCTCTCCTGAAAGCATGGTGAGTGCAATTAAAAAACTCTTTCCCCAAGAAAGTTTACTTCACATGCAAATTAGTATGCAAACAAGGGAAGAAAATATATGGTGCAGATATTTATGTTGCTTTCATATTAAATTATTTGAATTGGAAAAGAGTGCGGATCTGAAAATGATTATAATTTAAAATGCAAAGTTTCAGAAAAAAAAAAAAGAGAGAAAAATTGTAACTTATATTTTTGTAGTTTGTTAAAAAGATTTTAAAAAAATAAATGAAAGATTCCCGCAACTGAAAAATGCGTGCAAGAGAAGACAAAAAATTAAAAGGTTGTTGAACCAACCATCAATTTCAAGTAGCTCATCTCCTTCATGAATACCAGCCCTGGCTGCTGGGCTTCCCTCAATGCAAGACAAAACAATCTGTAATATCACTTCTACTTGTAAATGAGACCAAAGCTTCATATTTAACCATAAAGATAAAACATATCAACTTTCCAAAAAAATTTAATTTAGCACTAAAAGCTTTGCAGAGGCTGCACACAAGGAGCACTTGAACTTTGTGGCTCCGCAAGCCCTATTTTCATTAGAACAACTTGAAAGATATTAACGAGGTATGTTTTAGGTAATGCATCCGTCTAATGGTCCTTGTCGAGATAATATGAAATGATTGTTTTACAAACATAGACATGTCCCAAATGTGTGATTCATCCATTTTTTGAAATAAATCTTCCTGCCCCATCAATGAGCTTCAATATTTTAGTTTGTTGTGCTATTTCAAGCTACATGCATGGAGAGTAATATGTTCATATATCTCTAACTGACTTTATGCCAAAAAATATCAGAAATAAAATATTTTGGATAAATTTCTTCCTTCAACAAAAAAAACTTTCAGGTGTTACACCTTCAGAGAAGCATAACTTTATGCCCAGCTTTAGGCTGAATTAGAACAATTAATACTACAACCATAATAATTTTCATTAATAATGTTTACGTAGATAATGAGTGTTGTTTTAAAATTTCTAAAGGCAACTTCTAGATTCAATTAATACTTCTTTGTCATAAAAAAGTAGATCTATTAGATCTATAACCACAATTAAAACAAGCAATGAGAGAAAATACGTTTACTAATTGCCACTCACCAAATGTCCAGAATTAGGCTCAAGATTTATGAAAAGGCCAACTCCTTGCAAATTCCCATCGCTGCCTATTCTAAAACTTTGATATTCCTGCATATTAAAGCAGTTGTAAGGATAAGGACAACCATAGCACCCTGTACACAACACCCTTAAATGAACGATCATAGATAAGAAAAACATAGAAACCGTAATCTGCAGAAGCTATTAGGTGAACCAGCGCTGCTGAAATTTTTATATCATTTTTTTTTCTGACAACAGCACCATATTAAAAAGAAAACAAAAAATGATCATCTATTCCAACTATCAAAACACTGGTTTGTAATATCTTGAAAAGGAATGCCCAATCTGCCGTATAATTACAATCCTTAAACAAAACAACTGTAATAAACAAGAGAGAATTTCAAGCCCAAAGACTTCAGACCTCTAAGCTCAAAAAGAACTATTCTTATCCGTAGAAAGAATCAGTACGGATGTTAAAAGGAACAAGCACATCCATATGTATTTTCTAACCTTTGGGCTAATTAATTTAGTGAAAGGATCACCAAGTGTTGATAGCATTCCCCTGATCTTGCTATATGCTGCATCTGCTGATTTCAGCGGAAACATTTCCACCATAGTTTGTTGCAGCTTTGAATCCCAATCTAGATTGCAGGGCATTTTAGCAAGAAATATATCAAGAGAAAACTTGAGGTTGCAAAGTAACATACACCAGAGGTCAAGAACCACCTATAAAATAATAACTGATTTACTACAGTTGTAAGTGAACTTAGCTCACAATTCCCTTGTGCGCTTTTTTGCATCTTTTTCTTTATCAAATTCTATATTTTTACGCGAAACTCTATGTAAAAAAGAATAAAGAGAAAAGCAAGCTAAAAATAAACTTCAATTCTCAAGAGAAACATGAGCTACGCTCACATAATAATTATCTTAAAACAAATGAACAGGAACCAACCAACGAAAAATTCAAATTGTAACAATAAAAGTTTGGTGAGGACCTAACTTGATTTCTCGTAGATAGAAAATATATTTAAAAATGATTTCACCTTCTCTGTTTTGTATTTGAAATCAAAATCGTTACATTTAAGTGAATTTTAAAAGGATTTCTATAAACTTAATGTGGAACTAGCAAATTTAATCACTATGCAAAACAACCTTTTAACTTCAACCAACCAAACGGGGCCTAAAAGAAAAAAATGCCAGATTGTTTTTCACAAATTAGCTTGAGCAGTCTAATTATTTTAAATACTTAAACGAACCTTGATGATTAAACGTAGGGTCAATGAAAGTTTCCCGTACTAATCCCCACGCCTCAACCAGTGTCCTCTGCACTGTATTCACCTAAACAGAGCAGCTAACTCAGCATCACCAACAAAAAAAAAAAAAACATTTAAAAAAATATCTGTACATTCTAAGTTTATCTCGTTTTCCTCACCTCGAGAGCTTTCGAAACCGGGAAGGCCACCGTTAAGGATTCTGCCAAAGCCTGCGCATCGCACCCGCATATAGAGATCAGCACAGCTGCCACCGCCGATAATGCGCTCTTCCCAAGCAATCTTGCCGGCGACATTTCACATCCATCAACCTCATATTTGACGGTTTCGCCATGGCTGCGCACCTCTGATTTCTTCGCAGCAAATGGCCGGAGCTTCGGTTTGACAAGGGATCGCCGGGTATTGAGTATTTTTCGATGGTTACATGAGAGCCTTCGCAGAGTGACGGAGGAGAGATTTCGGGCATTCAGCTCCATAACCTCTCTGCCTCTCTATTGCGGCGTGGGCAGGAAGGGAGACGTGGATGCAGAGCAGGTCACTACTAACAAAGAAGGCGAAAGGTATAGTGAGAAAGTTGCCCGTGTCGCCTACCTGTATCAGTTTGTGGCGGGAGAATAATGGAGTCGGGTCGTCAATTTATGAGGATATTAAAAAAAAAATTGTGGTATTTGTGGAGTACGCGTGTACGCATAAGGAGTTTAGGCTGATTGGTTTGGTTTGAAGGCTGTTTTGCTAGATTTTTTAAAAGGTATATATGATTTTAAATGTCTAATAACAGGAAAATTATTGGGTCAGGTCATCGGACACATCTATACATCTGAAATTCAATAGGAGGATGCCACCTTGCGACCCGACGACCCGACCAACCAAATCGATTTATTTAGCACGTGCTTCTCCATCTACCGCGCAGCCCGACAACCTGACCCGGACCGAAGGTAAAAAGTCATTCTTTTATTAGTTTTTATCTGAAAAGTTGCAAATTAAAACTCGCGCCCTTTCGGTTGACCTTGCTCCCCATCTCCGGCTGCTCATCTTCGTTTGGAATTAATTTTTTTCCTCATCACTTTCATTGCAGAAGCCATGCCGAAGGTCTGTAATTTCTTGCTTGCGTTGAAGTGTCTTGTGTAAATTTTTGTAGCTCGATACCATGCTCGGTACTAAAATTGGTACTTTTCAGGGTTTTGTCACATAGATGGAATTATTTTTTATGGTTTTGAAAGTCAGTTTATGGTTTTGTTTTTTTGTTTCGAGAATGGAAGGGAAATGCTCGGTAGTACGAGCGGTATTTCTCATAATACTTGTCTAGGGTATTCATTTTGTTCGCTTGGTACTTCTCGGTAGCATACTCGATAGTTTGCATGTTACTGAGCATAGTACCGAGCATCGTTCATTTTGTTCTGCTCTCATTTTCTTGCTTGTGTTTTTTTTTATATAATGTTCTACTCTTATTTTGTTCGCTCGGTACTGCTCGGTAGCATACTCGGTATTGTGTATGGTACCGAGCGTAGTACCGAGCAGCATTCATGTTGTTATGCTCTCAATTTCTTGTTTTTTATCCAGTGTTCTGCTCCCATTTTGTTCGCTCGGTACTGCTCGGCAGCATACTCGGTACTCTGTATGGCACCAAGCGTAGTACCGAGCTCTCATTTTATTCTACTATCATTTTCTTCGCTCGGTACCATACTCGATACTCTGCATCGGTATCGTACTCGGCGCTCAATTCCTCCTCGGTATTAGACTCCGTACTCTGCTCGGTACCGTACTCGATACTCTGCATGGAACGTAGAGGTATTTATGTATCCAGTAGTTTGCTTGGTGTATCTCTTAATACTTGTGTATTGTTCCAAAATTGTAGAAATGTTTTCCAAAGATTCATTTCAGGTGCAGAGCTTCTACGTTTAGACAAGTTTGTGATCATTTGAGAAATACATTCGGCAAAGAATTTGTTGATGTTTTGAAGCCGATGCACCTTCATCAATTCCTCTTGTGGTCTGCTTTCCATCAAAACGTTCCTCTTGTTCATATGTTGCTGACCAAGTGGAATTACAAGAAGCAGTGCTTCATAATAAAAGGAAAGAAATTACCTTTCACTTTTGATTAGGTAGCTCTCATCATTAGACTACCCAATAGGGGTACAAAATTTGTGGTTGGGAGTGGCAGGATAGGTGGGGCAACTTCAAATAATATTAGACATGAAATTCACAGTTTGAAGGAGTCCCCCCCAGTACATGATATTCTACAGCATTTCATAAAATTCTTATTATCCAATCTATTTTCCCCCTTGCGAACTTCAGATTACCTTCAAGTATCATGACAGTTGCAGATGATTTCTTAACTTACAACTGGCCATTAAACATAAGGAACTTTCTTGTCAAAGAATTTGATTCGATTGCCATGAAGCATACGAATGGCATTCCCCTAGGATATATTAATGGTTTTGTAATAATTCTAATTATGAATATAAATATTAAGCATACTATTTTAGTTAGCCATTCTATACATATAAATAATTTACCAAAGGATTGTTTGTTATGGTTGCAGATTTGGTTCCTATAACATACCAAAATATAAACACCAACTGATGAGCATTCACGGCCTCGTTTTGTTCCGTGGGACAACCACATAATGTACATTGAGAAAGAAGTAGTTGAATTATTTGAATCACTTGATGATGTACAGGTATGCAATCGAGATGTGTTATTCATGTAGATATGATCTCCCTTTAACAAACAGTGTTTTGCAGATTTTGATAGAATTTGAACAAATAACTGAGGAGGAGAGAACCCTTTTACAAAATGCTCCCCCCAAAGTCCATATTAAAATCCAACATCCCAAAACCTCCCCAAGGGCTTCCACTCCACCCAAGCCCCCCCAATCAGGTACCCTACCACCCAAAAAGAACAGCCCGTCCACTAAAACAAGTAGCCCAAAGATCAACCTGTCCAAACCGCTAGATGATGAGGACCGTCAGAACATGGTCAAACTGATTTCATAGATTACAATCCTCATTACCATGCTTGCCAAAGTTGAATCGACATCCATCTTGCTAGAGCGGCGAGTAGATTCATTAGAACGGGTACTGTTTGAACTTAAGGATTTAGAGAGAAAAGTTGAAATAATACAAAAATTTATTGAGTCCAACTTTCCAACTACGTTGAAAGTAAATGCTACACAATTTGACACGCCTGACCATATGGAGCCCGAAGATATTAAACATGTTTCCATAGCGGCCCTATAAAAAGAAGAGGCTCAGGACCCATCAGAAAAAGTTGATGTGGGTAAGATAACAACAATAATGGATTTAACTGTTTCACCACATAAAATCATAGGAACCAAATTTGAGCAAGCGGTGAATTCAACAACTAGCACTGGCATTGCAAAGAGGTTTTGGGAAAGGGCTGATCGTAAGAGGAAATTGGTTAAGAGCCCATTTACAATTGGTAAAAGAAAGACTCAAAAAGCTGGTGAAATTGTCATAGAGCACAAAAAATTGTTGAAGTCAACGAGGAAGACAAAATTAAGCCGATACCAGCGCCAACTAAAATTGATTACCCTGGCCGAGCAATGATAATTGAGGAGAAGTCCACTTTCATTGACAAATGTTTTGAAAAGTTCAATGATAAGTAAGTGCCATCCTTATGTTAACCCTTTTCTACCAATCGTAATGTTAAGCCTAATTGTTTGTTATTTTGAAGGGGGGTTACTATTTTCTCGACTGGAAACATCGTTATTTATAGAAGTCAAATTGATGAACTAATGACTAAATAATACCAAGATAATAACTATGTCAACGCTTTTGCCATCACTCTAGCAGAGAAGAACAAGATTTCCCCGGGAATCTACAAACCTTTTATATTTGTTTCGAGCTTCCATTAGGTTAGTTTGAGCTTAAAAATTTGTAATGGTACACGGTACCGAGCAGTACATGTACAGGATACCGAGCAGAACATGTATAGGGTACCGAGCGGTACATATATAGGATATCGAGTGGTATATGTACATATAGGATATCTAGCGGTGTTATTACAGGGTACCGAGCGGTGCATGTATAGGATACCGAATGTTACATGTATAGGGTACGAGCAGTACATATATAGGATACCGAGCGGTACATGTACATATAGGATACCGAGCTGTGTTATTATAGGGTACCGAGCGGTGCATGTATAGATACCGAGCATTACATGTACAGGGTACCGAGCGGTATATATATAGAATACCGAGTGGTACATGTAAATATAGGATACCGAGCGGTATTATTATAGGGTACCGAGCGGTGCATGTATAGGATACCGAGTGGACTTCTTCTTTATTACACATTATATGTATTGTATTCTTAATTATATTATTATTTGCTTGTTATGCTAGGGTTATTATGATGTCTATAAATATAAAACAAAATAGTTCGTAACCCACATCAATAAAGATTCTATTAGGATAGTTGATTTACTGCTGATACCTATTGTGTATGGCAGCCATTGGACACTATTTGTAGGGAATTTGTTAGAAAAAGTTTGTGAGTTCTACGATTCATTACCCAAAGCGACTCATATTAACATACTACCTAAAGTTGTAAGTAACATTTATTAATTTTTGTAATCTACCATATATCACATGCTCTATCCGTCTCATACAATGCTGTCTAAATTATATGTAGAATAGACATTTTTATGAGGAAACTGAAAAGATATGGGATGATAACGACATTAGAGAATGGCCGATCAGGCCGGTTGTAAAAGCTCCTACCCAGAAAAATAGCTTCGACTGTAGAATGTTTGTCTATAAATATATGGAAGCAGTTGTGCAACCTCAAGGTGTTATATGGGAGGAGCTAAAAAATTGGCAAGATAGCATGGCAAAATTCAGAGCTGAATTTGCTTTCACATTGTTTTGTTCTACCTTAAAATAAATGGGCATAAATTATAAATAGTTAAATATCTGTCATTGATTGTACATCACAAAATTATGAACTTGTATATGGTACATCGCAAAATTATAAATTCCTTTCTTATACATACCTGTTTTCCCATTAAAACCAAATATTATTGATTCCTAAGTAAATAATGAATATGTTGTTGAAGTTGACTTTGTAAGGGACAACAACCAAAATATGTGATCAACTCGAACTGTATATCTTGCCTCCAGCTAGGTTTAAGAACTTCATTTTACCATAAGGCATCCGTTTCAAAAGCTCTTTGTATAAGTCAACAATGAAGGCATCCTCAACTGGGTCCCAAGGATGATACAGAATGCAATTTTCTAAATCATAGGTTGATAATGACTTAGTTCTAGCATGCACACCTAATCTCTTACATTATAGCTCATGATATTGCATATGTAGAAAGTTAGGGCTAACCATGTGGTGTTGATAATTAAAAAACTATTTCTCAGCCCATTTCTAACATTTAGCATTTAGGAATTTACCTTCTCAATTCTGTTCAACACCCATTGCATCTTGATGCAAAATCAGGAGTTCAGTATCACAACGCTCGTTCTAGTAATGCAGACAACATCTGTATACTTTATTATCCCTTGCTTGTTATTCAAGTAGACCATCGGGAGATTCTGATATCTTTTCATGCATCGCAGTTGTTGCAATGT